TTGCCGCTTTGCTTCTGACTGCGTTCGCGCCCCAGGCCTGTCCCTGATCCTAATCTGCCTCCTCGCACTTTAGCTCCTCTCGACTTTTCAGCACCATTTCACTCGCGATGCTGTCTAGAGCAGGGGGGGCATCCTCTGGGCCGTCGCATTTCCCCGCGGAACGCGCGCGGCGTTGGGCTACTTTTCGCGCAAGGGGCGCCGAGATGGCCCGACCCATCTGGGCCCGGACGGCCCGGGGGCGCCGGATCGATGCCGCCCCGTGCCCTTGCCCGTCTCCTTAAGTGGGTTCTTTTTTCACGCGGGCCCACCGCGGGGGCAAAATCGACCTCGCGCGGGGCCTTCGCGGGCGGAGACCGTGCGGACTTGGATTTCACGCGGCCGCTAGGGCACCCGGTGTTTTGTCTAAGGCAGGCGCCCCCCTGGGCCACGCATGTGCGCGCGACTTCTTCGCGCGGCCGTCTCGGGCGCAGTCCGCGACTTTCCCCGGCGGGGCCAAACCCAGGGCAGGCCCTGGCGCAACTTCGCTGGCCTTCTCGCGCCCCCCTCGTCCGCGCCGGTTCAGCGTCGCCATCCAGGAAACAAGATTACATCCCTCGCGCTCGCTACCCATAGCCCCTTTCAGCTGGCCCGCTCGCCAGTCGCAGGTGCGAAGCCTACTTCTGATTTTTGCATTCAGAAAGTTAGCAAGCAAGCGATGTCTGCGTAGCAGGCGCGACTTCATCTGTTCGTAGACATGTTCGTTGATGATGGCAACCATCTCAGAAAAATGCGAACTACCTCCGCGCATTTCTCGGTAATCAACCGTCCGCTCATGGTCGACATGTTGCGATTCCCGGTATGTCTTGTTTCGACCAGTCTCGACCTCAAGGAGGTCTCGACACGCGCAATGCCGCCCATGCGCCGAGCGAATTGACGATCGAACAACGCGCGCGCATCTCCATCGGGGGGCGGAGGAGGCCATGGGCGCGCGTTGTCGGATGGGGCCCCCGCTCGAACGGGAGCTCCCCCCAGGGTCCGACAACTCGCACCCATGCCCATGGCCAGTTCCCCTCCTTTCGACCCGCCTATGGGGCATGGGCGCGAATTGTTCGCTCGTCGCGAACCGAACCCCGAACGCAGATTGCACGAGCCATTTCCCAACCCGTCAACGACCGCATTTCGTCCGGGCCAATGCGGCCGACGAGATGGACTCGCTGCGCGGGCAAGCCCCTCCTTTGGCGCAGCCCGATGCGACGGACACGTCGACGCGAGTAAGATGCCCTTAACATTGTAGCTTCGAAGCTCGCACAGCGGGGCCAACTGCTTCCGCGGCCCAGGGGCGGGCCCCTGCAGCGCCAGTGAAGCGGGGGAAATCGCGCGCGCAGCGCGCAACTTCCAAGCCCGAAATTAGTCGGGACCTGTCGCAGGCGCCAAACCTCGGTTGCTCGACCAGCCTATCGCCAACGATATCGGGCGGCGGCGGAAGAGCGCCCCCTCCACCTCCGCCCCCACCGGGCCTGCCATCACCAGGCCCGGGAAAAGAGTGGCACTTGCTCCCGCCATGGCCAAGGCCCCCGACGCTTCCCAGAGGTGGCAGCGCCAGGTCGCCAAGTGAATGGCGCTGGAAGCTGCGGCGATGGCGCCTCCGTGGGGAACTGGGGGGGTCCCTCTGATACCCCTTCCAAAGTAGCAGAGGACGCGCACCCTTCGGCCATTTGTCCTTGCGACGGTGAGAGGGCGAGCTTTGGGTCCTTTTCTCTTCTTTCATATTCCCTGGCTCTTCTTCTCCGTGCGGGTTGGATTCAAACACTGTGTGCCTTAGATGGCAAAGCGTTCGCTGTTTCTCTGCTTCTCCCAACCGTAATTTCTCTACCTCGTCATCGGCTTCGGTTTTTCTCCTGGGAACAAAACGCGCCTCTTTGATCCGGCGCCCGTGTGATCGTTGCCACGTGGTGCGCCGCGTTGGGCGCTATTCTCCCGCGTAGATAATAAACGCATATTGCACTTATCCAGCGGAGCGCCGCTCCTCTCCGGACGCCTGCAACAGCCGCAGGCGCTCTAAACAATCCGATGCTATCCCGCCCCCGCTGCCAACCGACTGAGTTGGGACACGGTTCGGGTCACTCGGAGAAGGATGCCGAACACTCCTAGGACGACTCTGAAGGCTCAGCCAGAGTGTCTGCCCAGTAGAGAGGTCTGAGTTTAGATAATGGGCGGCCAAAAAAAATGTCGAATCCGATGCCGCAAAATGAGCCCGAGGTGCGGTCAACCTCCCTTGCCGTGCTCCTCGCTCCTGAACGAGGTCTGATTGGAGAATTGCAAGTTTGTGTTGTGAGCTCCCCTGCTTGATCATGCCTTCTTGGCTTTTCTCGCTTCATCACGGGCGGCTCGCTCCGTGAGAAGGGCCAACTGGACTGCAGCATCCAATTTCAGCGATTCCGGCTGCGCTGCGCAGGCAGCCTGAGCCGCCCCTCCATGAAGAGTGTCACATATTTTCTGCTCGGACATAGACGCAGCCACCCGAACCCTGTCAACATCGCACTGCACCTGATGTTCTTTACCAGCCGTTTTCTCAGCTGCAATGTGTTCCTCCTCCACGGTTGCCAATAAAGCTGCCTCCTCGGCTATCGTCTTCTCATTGTCATATTCCAGCAGAAACAATAATTCATGCCACCGAAATGGCTTGTTGATTCAGGTGCCCACTCTGAACTACAAAAAATAATTCATGTATTCCTTTTCTCGCTCGAGCGTGTTTCCTTCAGTATCTTCATCTGAGCAGCCGTCTGCTTGCTGAGGAGCTTCTCTCTCGCAGAAGCCCTTTGTCTTGTCCCTTTTGATGCCATGCCATAGACATGATAGTTTGGAAGTTCTTCTCTGTCAGATCAACGCAGCCTGAACAAAACCAACTAACATTACAATGACCGCTTGTGACGCGACATGCTCCGCGCAAAGGCCCCACAACACGGACCGTTCTCTCTTCCCGCCTTTCCGGGGCACCGGTTTTCTGCCGTCGTCGGGCCCGGGCCCAGCAAGAGTGTAAAAGCATCGAGCTATCATATATCATATGGGGATATGGACTTAGCATGTCTTACCGCGGATCGGCGATCTCGGAGGAGGAGGAGGCACAAACTCCATGTTTGTTCCCCCCTCTTTCCGCATCTTGAGCTTGACAGGGTGAACCTGCCAAGTCAAGCATATCCTCATCACCCCCGTCTACCTCGCGAGTGAAAGGGTAGCGAAACACCGCCACATGGACTCCGGTTGAACTGGAAATCTGCGTTCGCGAATCGTCTACTGCCATACGATAAACGCATCGCCCCGTTGGCCCTTGCTGGGGACGGCGCATCCCCAACTGGGTCCCTCGGGTGATCTACCATATCTGGCCCACGAGGACTCAATGCGTTAAATGGTGACTGGGAGATTCCTGAAACTCTGGTTTTCCAAATGAATGTGGAAATAATGCTTGGAAAATGGTTGCGCCACCACCCCAGCATACGGGCACGCCGTTCTGACATCATGCCACGGTCTTCAGCTCAGCCACGGGTTGAACCAGCAGCCTCGCTCGCAGCATGATGCGACTCTGCTTTCAATGGTGAACTGAAGAATTAACTTCTGTCTGGTATCGGTATATATATATATATGTTTGGAAGACATTGGTACGTCACCGGGAAATTCTGGTAACCGTCGTTGCCCGAAGGTGGGTGGTGGGGGCCCTGGGTAACAGTGGCGCTTGGGCGGGGTGGGGTGCGTCGGGGTGGGCGTGCGCTGCAATCGCCACATTATGCGCGCGGGCGCCAGCAAATGCTAGGGGTCCCCACCCCGCGTGCGATGGCTACCGCTACAATGCCCCATGGGTGGGGTGGGGTGGGGGGCGGGCCAAGGCAACGGCTATTACGCGCCAGAGGGTAAAAGCACATTCCCCGAGGGCGGGGGGGAATGGAGGGGAACGGGGATGAGGAGGCGGAGGATGATGAGGATGAGGGGAAGAGTGGATTTTCAGAGGAGGGATGATCAGGATGAGCAAGAAGGGTGGATGAGCACGGGCGTAGTTATGATGACAACATTGGCCATGATGGAGATTATAAGACATATGAATTCCTCAAAAACACTTAGAATGATACCGGAGGAACCCCCCAATCATAATTTGTGAGGGCTTTAGGGCTATGGGGCTATAGGGCTATAAGGCTATGGGGCCATAAGGCTATAGGGCTAGTGGGCTATAGGGCTATGGGACTATACGGCTAAAGGGCCATAGGGCATAAAGGTTATAGGGCTATTGGGCTGTATGGGGTATAGGACTATTAAGGCTATTGGGCTATAAGGCTGTAGGGCTATACGGCTATAAGGCTATAGGGCTATGGGGCTTCAAAGCTACCGGGCACCTAGGCACCCGCGGGTACCTGGCCACCCGGCCACCGAAATCGGCGGCACACCTCACCTGACCATACGAATCCGCTAGGACTCCTACAGAGGCAAGCTCTGATTGGGGAAACATCTCCTCTTGAGACAGTGTTCGTCTTTGCTGCGCATGGCTTCTGCGAGAGCGCCTGTTGTCTCAGGCTTTGGAGCTCAAAGCCCTGGCACAGGCAGAGTCCAAGGACAGATATTGAGCGAAGACTGAGGTTCGACCTGGAGGCCAGCCAAATGGGCCTGAGTATGGATGGGGATCGGGAGATCGTGCCAAATCGCCGATGTGTCGGCGACATCGGGATGGAGAACAACGGGCTGCGGATGCGCGATCCTCTGATTCCGTCGGCTCCAGGCCCGTGTGAGCGGCCTGGAGACAATGAGGAGGAGGAGGAGGAGGAGGAGGAGGAGGAGGAGGAGGAGGAGGAGGAGGAGGAGAGGGAGGGGGAGGAGGAGAAGGAAGAGGAGGAGGAGGAGGAGGAGGAGGACGAGGAGGAGGGGGAGCTGGAGGAGGAGGAGGAGGAGGAGGGATCACGCAGATGGCCTCGCGCATCGCATGGCGCGAGGCCCGAGGCGCGAAGATCCTCGAGCTCTGGCGCGGCCCCACGGCTGAGGCTTTCTCTCGTCGGCTCGGACAGCGCATCGCGATCCTGCTCGCGCCCCTGCGGACGACCTCGGTCGGCGGACGAGTCGTACAACAACAAGGGCTCCCAACTTCGCGCGTCGCGCTGCGCGAGGCGCGAAGGGCGAACACCTCCGCGCCCTCGCGCCGCCTCCCAGGGGAGCATAGGAGGGTGAGGAGGAGTCGGAGCCGAACCGCGAAGCGCGAATGACTTCGCGCCCTCCAGGGCGCCCTTGGAGTCGTACAAGAATGAAGCGACGGCGGTTGTCCGCCGTGGGGGACGTGGACGGGGCGGTTGGAACGTTGGGATGTTAGATACCCCCGTGGGGCACGCACAGAGTTCCCCCCGCTGTGGGAGAGCCGTGCACCACGGCGGGGCAGAGAACGTACAGCCATCGGGCTGGCACGAGGAGCGCCACACAGGGAGCGAAGGGACTGCTCTGGCCACGGCGCGAACTTCGAGCACGAATGGGTCCCCCGACCCACACCTCAGGAGCTGCCCGAAGACCGGGTCCCATCCTGAGCCCCAAAGGGGGCACTAAGTTCCGCATCTTGACTGCAGGATGGTTCACTCTGCTCTCAGACCTGGGGGACACGAGTGATGATGACGTGTTTAGAGGCACGAAGAATGACATAAACATAAGAACTCGGCGGTCTGCGCGGATTTCTCGGATCAGCGCTGGACCCCCCTGGCGGCGCCCTCGGCGCCGCCCCTAGCGCGCTCCGCGCGCCAGGGAGGGGGGTCCAGCGCCGACCCGAGAAATCTGCGCGGATCTCCGAGTTGTTATGTTCATGCCATTGTGTGTTCCCCTCTTCTCCCAGGGGTGGAAGCGGCAGGGGACTGGCGCCGCGCGGAGCGCAGCAACTCCGCCGAGGACGGGGAGGCGGACAACACTGACAGCGCGTGGCCGTGCGGAGGCAGCCACGCCCTCCCCCCGCACGCAAGGAAGCTCAGCATCGCTGAACCGATGCCTGTCCCCGACGGCGTGGCCCGGGCCCCACTGCCCGATGTACCTCCCCGGATGGAGTACAACGGAGGCCGGTCTACAAGAACCCTTCCACCATAATTGCGTTGCTCCCATCGCACTTACGGACCACACCCCAGAAATCATTTCGAGCACCCAGAACAGTGTCGAAACAGTGTCGAACGAGCGTCGCCTCCCAGGGCCCGACACGTGATCCACAAGTTTCGGTACTTTCTTGGTGCTCGAAATTCTTTCTGGTGGTCCAAGCTAAAAAAAGGTTGGAAAATCATAACACAAGAACCCAATCCTGAAACCCTAGGGCGTCCATCGATGTTTGGTGTGGGAACGCCACCCCTATCACAGCAATCCAATCGAAACCCAGGGCACCCTGGAGACAAGCAGGGTGTTTCTAGGCATGGGTCTCCACTGCATAGACTGTGCCCTTCGAGCTTCGAGGGGCAGATCCCTAACTGCGGTGGGATGGCGGGGGGCGAAATCGGGATTGGGATGGGGACAGGGTTACCCTAATAGGGTTAAGTCGGGCGTGTCCCCCCACAGGCGGATTTTGGACGAAAAATGAACGAGATGTTGAAGTGCTCGAAACATAATTCAAAGAAGTAATGGCAAAATCGTCCCCATTTTGTTTTTGGACCATTTTTGACTATTCCTCCTGTAGAGAGACGCGCCCGACTGAAGGATAGGGATCGGTTAAGCGATGCCGACCCCCGCAGGCAAAGGGGGCGGGGAAAATTGGCGCCCCTACTCCGCGACGCCCGAGAAGTCGGCAGCGCTGGCGGCAGGACACCGCCGCGCCACCTCGCCGGGCGCGCCGGAGAGGGGGGGCCAGGAGGAGGGGTGCGCATAGGAGGGGAGCACATCATGGCCCGAGGCATTATCGATAGAGTGGAAGCCTGGTATACGCTCGTCATTCCGCCTTTAGAAGGCATCAGCGTCGATTCTCGTCGGGTAGTCGTGGAGATGGCGCCGATTTAGCATCGCTTTGCGCCGGTTCGCAAGAGCCAAGAAGATGGCACGGGAGGCCGACATGAGTTGCCGCAGAAGGCATGCGTGAGGGGCAACGACCAGGGGGGGACTTGCTCAGGGGGGAAGCATTGGCGTGGAATCGGCGATACATCGCCGACAGGTCGGCGATAGGCCCTCGATAGCGAAACCGGACGCTCCTGCGCGGGGTGGAGCACCCAGGACTGGACTCACGATGATTGGGCGATTGGGGCTCAATGCTTCCCCCCTGGGCCAGTCCCCCACTGTCGGCGCCCTTGAGTGTGCGAGGACGAGGGGTGGCCTGGGGATCTCGAAAGAAGAGCGGGCACCGAAATCAAGGGTCGCGGCCATGACATCCATCCTCCCCCTCGTTCTCACTCGGAGGGGGCCGGGAGGTCTGAGCTGCATGGGCCCCAGGAACAGCTGTCAAGAAGAGGGTACAACGGCAAATCCATTCAAAATCGGTTGGCGGCTCTGACTGCAACAGGATGTCTGATGTCCTCGAAGCAGTAAGGAAGTCAAACACTATAGTTGAAAATCGGTTCCTGGACCCCTCCTGTGACCATCCGGCGCAAACTTTCATGCAGGATCGTTTTTTTTTGTCGAGCCCAGGGACCATGAACAGGCCCCTGGAGACCGAATTCCTCGACTCCAGAACAGTCTCGAATCTCTCCCCCCCTTTCCTGCTGCCCAGAAACAATGCTGGGCCACCTCAGACCCCGAGCTGGCTCCGAGTCCTCACCCCCTTCTTGGACTCCCCCGAACCTCGGCCAGGTCGACCTCCCTCACCGGTGAGCTGGCGGGCAGGGCCCCGTCGCCCGTCTGGCCGTTGCCCCCGCAGCCCCACAGGAAGACCCGCCCGGAGGCAGTCTGGGCGCCCGAGTGGCAGATGGCCATGGCAGCGTCAAGGAAGGTCACCACGTGGGGTGCCGACGAAGACCAACACAGGGGAGGGGCACTATGGAAGAAGTGCCCTGCCTCTGGGACATGTTCTGGTTTTGGGGAGGCCGACCGAATCATCACGATGGCTACGACGACGACGACGCCCACGAGCAGGCCTGGGACACAACCTGTTGATTATCGCCCAATGCCCAAGGCGCTGCTGCCTAACGGTCCCCAACAGGCATTCCTCACTGTGGGGGCCCTTTCATAAGAAACCTTCCACAAGGAACCCAACCCTGAGACCCCAGGACGCCCATGGATTTGTGGCGTGGGAACGCCGCGCTCTCCATCGCAAAACCAGCGAAACCCCAGAAACCCAGGGAACACTGGAGGCAAGCAGGGTGTTTCTTGGCATGGGCCCCCACTGTGACCTTCACCTTGCAGCAGGGGGGGGGGGGTCGCCACCTCTTCGAGGAGGACGGCCCCTCGGGACCCCAAGAGACCCCCAGGCAGCCCCGCCCAGACCATGCCAATCGTCCAAAGCAGCGTCGAGCCTGGACCCTAAGATTAAGTCGGGCGTGTCACCCTACAGGGGGATTTTCGACGAACAATAACACATTACTCAACAAATACTCCAAAATGGTCAACAAAATGCTAAAGAAATAGCCCCCTTACTATTTTTCATATTTTTGAATATTCCCCCTGTAGAGGGACAGGCCCGACTTGACCCTAAGAACCACGATCCCCAAGGTGAGCCAGCGGCCCCCCTACGGGTCCTAAAGGAACCGAGTCCTGGCTACCGAGGCCTTCCCCCAAGACCAGTTCGCTCTTCATCGCCTCGCACCGCCGGCGGTACGAGAGCCGTCTGAAGGCATTACCAGGGCGCCTTCGCACCTCGTGGCGGGCCTCCAACTGTGGCCGACATGGCTGAACCCATGAGTGTACAGTGCGGGCGCGGCCGCAAGAAACCCTCGCAAGGAACCCAACCCTGAGAACCCGTGCGCGAGGTGCACCTGAGGGGAAGCCTGGAGCACCCTGAACGCAGCAGCTCCTTCAACGGCGCAGCGCGAGGAGCGAAGACACCCAGGAGACCCTGACGAAAAGCAGATGGTTTCTTGATGCGCGCCCCCACTGTACGACATGCTTGAAAAACTGCGGCTGTGGCAAACTGTGGCCGACCTGGTTGAATTCATGAGTGTACGCTCTGGCCGAGGGGCTCACCGCGCCTTCCTCCAGGACCGTTGTTGTTGAGAGTACCAAGGAGCACGGGCCGGGCTTCTGGAGGTCGGAAGCGGCCAAGCACCGCCGGGAGGCCCCGCTTCCCTCGGGTAGAGGGGCCCTGGGACACACAAAGAAAGAGACACGAGTAACAGGATTCCCCACACGTTTAAATACCTTCTTGGCGTTCGTCTCCCCCCCCACTTCCCAGATCTTCCCATGTTTTCGTGGGAATCGACGATTCATTGTGTCTGTGTGTTCTTATCCCTCCTGATCAGAGCCCGCTTGCTCCACGGCGACCTCGGCGAAGACCCCTTGCCGCTGCCTGGGATGCCCGCGCTGACCCGCACCACCGGGTCGCCTGCCGTGTCGGGCGCAGGGGGGAGGGTCAGCGAATCGGCTCGCGCAGCTAGCTTTTTAGGTCGGGCATGCCCCCCCACAGGGGCTCCTTGGACGCAAAAATCAAATAAAAATGCGCTCAAAGAGTCAAGAGCTCGTCCCCGGACTATTTCCGCACTATTTTCAAAAATTCCGCCTGCGGAGGGGGCACGCCCGACTGAAAGCTAGCTGGTTGCCCTGGCGCGAGGCGCCCAAGGCGCCGATGCCTCGAGGAGACCGCCCGGCGGCGGGGCCAGGACCGGCTGCGTCCAGCAGACTTCGTACCTCCTCCCTTCCCCGCTCCTCCTCCTCCTCCTCCTCCTCCTCCTCCTCCTCCTCCCGTGCGACCCGAGTGGATGGGGGAGGGAGACGAAGAGGATACAACTACGTACTCAGCCTGGCGAGAGACCGAGCTCCCCATGGGGCAACGGAGCGTGTGAGGGGTGTAGATACGGACATTCGGATGGCGGAAGTGGGAGGAGGGAGTGTGGAAGATGAGTGAGTGAGTGAGACGCGGGGCGCTGTCTCGTCAAAACAAGCACCCAACACCACAGTATGGTTGGGAACAACTAGCCTGGCCAAGGACCCAACCATATGCAGCTGCGAGTACCGCAAGACAATGAGAAACTCAAGCAAGGGGCTAAGGACTACGACATGTGTCGGAAGAAAAACATGAAATTGCTGATAAGGTCTCAGAAATATGATGTAACGGGCTACATCTGGATGTAACCCGTTACGGCTGATCTGCGCGTCTGATGGCGCGGCCCCGAGGAGTAGCAAGCGGAGGGGGCTTCGGTGGAGCTCCCTATGGCGGCGAAGCATGTGAGGAGTGTGCCGAGATCGGCGCGGTCACGTATGCGAGTCCTGCCACTGGGGCCTTCGGTGAGCTCCCTTTGGGGTTACGACGCGTGAGGGGTGTGCAGACATGGGCGCGGTCGCGCATGCGAGTCCTGCCACTGGGACCTTCCACGAAACGTATGAGGGATGTGCCGAAATTGTATGGGCCATCTATGCGAGCGCAGCCACTGGGGCCTTCGGTTCAGCTCCCCATGTGGCCACAAAACGTGTGAGGGGTACGCCGACATGGCGTGGACCAGATATGCGAACGCACCCGCTGGGGCCTTCGGTGGAGCTCCCAGTGGGGCCACGAAACGTGCAACGGGTGCGCCGACACAGTATGGAGCCAAGTATGCGACCGCAACTTCTGGGGCCTTCGGTAGAACTCATTATGGTGCCTAGTAACGTGTGAGCTTGTGTGCGGGAATCGTGTGAACCAAGCATGCGAACGCAACCGCTGGGGCCTCAGGAGGAGCTCCCTATGGGCCGGATGAGTGTGAAGGGTGCGTCGAAATGGTGTTGCCCATCTATGCGAGCGCAGTCACTGGGGCCTTCGGAGGAGCTTCCGATAGAGCCACGAAACGTGTGAGGGGTGCGCCGAAATGGTGTGGACCAGGCATGCGGCATGCGAGCCCAGCCACTTGCGCCTCAAGAGGAGCTCCCTATGGGGCCACGAAACTTGTGAGAGCTGCGCCGACATGGTGTGGACCAGGTATGCGAACGCAGCCGCTGGGGCCTTCGGTGAAACTCCCCATCAAGCTACGAAGCGTGTGAGCGGTGCGCCGACATGGTGTACACCAGGCAAGCGAACGCAGCCACTGGGGCCTCCAATAGAGCTGCCTGTGGGGCCACGAAGCGTGTGAGCGTGTGCCGAGATCGTGTGGAGCCAGGCATGCGAACGCAGCCGCTGGGGCCTGAGGTGAAGCTCCCTTTGGGGCCACGGAACGTGTGAGAGATGCGCCAAAATGGTGTGGACCATATAGGCGAACGCAGTCACTCGGACCCTCGGTGGAGCTCCCTTTGGAGACACGTAACGTCTGAGGGTGCGTCGAAATGGCGTGGCCCAGGTATGCGAACGCAGCCGCTGGGACCTTCGGTGGAGCTCCCTATGTGACGGCGAAGCGTGCGAAGGTTGCGCCGAAATGGTGTGCACCATGTATGCGAACGCAGTCACTGGGGCTTTCGGTGGAGCTCCCAATGGGGCCACGAAACGTGTGAGGAGTGTCCCGACATGGACATGCGCGGAGGCCAGAGGCAGGGATGTGGAGGAGGGAGGAGGAGGAAGAAGAGGAGGAGAGGACGCGGGGCTATACGTATTCAAAACGAGGTCCCAAGTCGACGCAGGCTGATGGGGAAACACTGCTCAAACCCAGAACCTCGAACCTCCTCCCCCCTCCTGCTGCCTGGAACCAGCACCGGGCCACCCCCAAACATCCAATGTCCTGATTTTTCAATATGGAGTCCCGGGAAGTCCCGACCCAACTTGCTTTCCTTCCTGAGTCGTCTTTGTTGACGGTCCCGGGGCCCAGCGAGGGCCCCCCAGAGGCCCCTAAATCAAAAAACTGCTCGCTCTGATTTCTCCACGACGCCCAACATGCCTGGGCTTCACCCGCCCCGCCGACTCCCAACAATCCCCTCTCGTCCGACCCGAGGGCGGCAGCTGCCTGCGCTAACTCTTGAGCAGGGACCGACCGTCCCGGTATTCCTGGAGGCCTACCACGAAATATTCTTAGACCCCCAAAATGTTATCAGAACACAGAAATGTTCTAAGAACGAACATTTCGTGCAGACCACAAAAGGTTCTTATAACTTTCTTTGGTGGGCCTATAGTTAGGTCGGGCATATCGCCCGACAAACTGGTTCTTGAACGAAACATTAAACATAGCGAAACAAATGCCCAAACATAGTCGAACAGTAATCAAAACATCGTCCCCATATTGTTTGAAGTGTGTGACTATGTTTGAACATTCCTCCTGTAGAGGGACATGCCCGATTTGAGCCTATAGGTAAATCAGGACGCCTCGACTCTGCTCGATCCAAGCAACCCCCCCTCTCGTCCGACCCGCGAGCGTAGAGGCCTCCGAGATGGGGTCGAAGCATCGCGCCGCATCACCGATGCATCACCGATGCATCGGCGATGCATCGGTGATGCACCGGCGATGCGTCGTCGACGTCGGCGATGCATCGGCGACGTCGGCGTGGGGAGATTCGGGTTCCACATCGAGCCGCATCGCCGATGCATCGGCGATGCGGAGCGATCCTCCGACCCCATCTACTCCGACCCCATCTAGGAAGCCTAGACTTAGGCCGGGCATGTCCCCCTACAGGCGGATTTTGGACGAGAAACTTTGAAAAACAGACAGACAATAATTACAAAAAAACAAAGATTAACGCAAAAATGGTGCCCACACCACTTTTGAACCGCTTGTGCATCTTCCTCCTGTAGAGGGACGCGCCCGACTTACGCCTCGAGGGTGGCAGCTGCCCGCGCTGACTCCGCCCGGGGCGCCTTCGGGCAGCCCCTCCACCGCCCGAGGCCGCCACTCGCGGTGCTCCTTTTGGCGGCGCGCACAAGGGGGCGGAGGGAGGCGGGAGGGCATCTCAGGCGGCTACTTTTTAAAAGGCGCCGGCCTTGCATATCTAGATAAGGCCCACGCCTTCTAAGAAGCAAGGGTGTTTCTAAGAAGCCCCCCCTCCCCCCCACCCCCTCTGCGCGAGGGTGTTCCTCGCTGCCGCCCGGCGCCGCGCCGTCGCCGACCACCTGCCCGTACTCGTTGGAGCCGAGCGCGAACACCCGGCCCCCGACCTCGCCACGAGCCGGCTACACGCCATGATGAGGTTCAGGGCTCCCTCCTCCTCCTCCTTTTCCTCCTCCTTTTCCTCCTCCTCCTCCTCTTCCTCCTCCTCCTCCTCTTCCCCCTCCTCCTCCTCCTCGTCCTCTTCCTCCTCCTCCTCCCCCCTCCCCCTCCTCCTCCACCTCCTCCTCCTCTTCCTCCTCCTTCTCGTCCTGGTCCTGGAAGAACATGGTGGCCACCGACCTCGCCACGAGCCGGCTACACTTAGGTCGGGCATGTCCTCCGACAGGCGGATCTTGGACAACAAAGTTCGAATCGCCCCAGAATGCAAAAAAAAACAAAATCATAGCCGGAGCGCAGTATCCCCAAACAGGGTTTTTAAACCCTCCGCGGCTTCCAAGGTCGATTGCGTGCCCGCCCAGTGCGGGCTGGCACGGCATGCTTGAACATGATAACATGATGTTTGCACATGAGATTCTTACACGGAAACTTGTGTGACGCATGAATAGCAGGAAGCTAACGCTAGAATGTGTCGTACTCTCTCGCACCTGGTCGACGAGTAAGCTGTCTGGTCGGCACTATGAGAGGCTCCACCGCCATGCTGTGAACTCGGAAGCACCTGTAATAGGAAGCGAGGGAGGGCGCGGAAACGGGGGGGCATGTCGTGATGGTTCCCCCGGGGATGATATCGAGAGGTACGCGGCGCACGTCTCAAGAGAAAAATCGTGACGTCAGATGTCTGGGGAGGGCGGAAGGCAGGGCGCGCATGATGGATGCTGAGGCGGCAGAAACGACGACGGCGGGGACGGGGAGGCGGAGGCGGAGGCGCAGCAGCGGGAGGCGGGAGGAGGGAGGAGGGAAGAGGAGACAGGCGGGAAGCGGGAAGAGGGAGGCTGGAGAAGGAATGAGAGACGTTGTGATTGGAGCCCCTGTGCTACGAAACGTCTCAGCCAGAACGGGCCAGACCATCTCGCGCGCAACATCTTCGAGCTTCGCATTGTGATGATAGCTCAATCGAAACGGGCCCGACCACCTCGCGAGCGACATCTTGGAGCTCGATATTGGAAGGATGTCTCAAACGAGATGGGCCGGACAACCTCTCGCACACGTTCTGACAAGTCCACGTCACGCTCGCTTCCCGTTAGGTCCTCTCCTGCAACTCCCTTCCTTCTCCCTCCTCCTCCTCCTCCTCCTCCTCCTCCTCCCCATCCTCCTGCCTGCTCCCTCGTCCACATCATCCTCCTCCTTCTCCCTTCCATCTCCTTGTCCTTTTCCTCCTCCTCCTCCTCCACCCCCTCTTCATCCCGAACGGCATCTCGGAGCCCAGAGTTGCGAGGATGTCTCCAGCGTAACGGGCTGGACCACCTCGCGCTCGGCATCTCGGACCCCAGAGTTGCGATGATGTCTCAGGCGAAACGTGCTGCGAGGAAGGCTGAGGCGAAACGGGCCGGACCACCTCGAGCGCGGCGTCTCAGAGCTCCGAGTTGCGGGGGCCTCCTGGCGCCTCTTGGGGCCTCCTGGGGACCTCCTGGGGCTTCCTCCTGGGCCTCCTGTGGCCTCCTGGACTCCACCTGGGGCTTCCTGAAGCCTCTTGGGGCTCCCAGGGGGGGATATCTAACATGTGGCCGCTTGGGCCCCTCAAAAAGAGGGGGGGCCACAAGAGCAGGAAAAATCAGCGAATCGGCACCGGATGTGTATTAACTTGACACGTTCTGATAAGGGACCTCCTGAGGCCTCCTGGGAGCCTCCTGGGAGCCTCCTGGGGACCCCTGGAACCTGTCCTGGGCGTCCGGCGGCCTCCTGGAGCTCTCTGGAGCCTCCTGGGGCTCCCAGGGAGGGTATTAACATGTGGTCTTCTGGGCCCCCAGGCTGGACCACCTCTTGCGCGGCATCTGGGAGCTCAGAGCTACGAGAATGTCTTGTACGAAACAAGCCGGACCACCTTGCGCACGGATTCTCAGAGCTCAGAGTTACGAGGATGTCTCAGGCGAGACGGGCTGGACCACGTCGCGCGCGGCATCTCAGAGCTCAGAATTGCGAGGATGTCTCAGGTGAAACGGGCTGGACCACCTTGCGCACGGCATCTCAGAGGTCAGAGTTGCGAGGATGTCTCAAGCGAAACGGGCCGGACCACCTCTTGCGCGGCAGCTCAGAGCTGAGAGTTTCGAGGATGTCTCAGGCGAAATGGGCTAGACCACCTCTTGCGCGGCATCTCAGATGTCAGAAGTTGGAGGACGTCTCAAACGAAACGGGCCGGACCACCTCTCGCGCGGCATCTCGGAATGAAAAAACGTCGGGATTGTCCCAAGTGAAACGGGCCGGACCACCTCTTGGGCGGCAGCTTGGGGCTCAGAGTTTGGAGGATGTCTCAAGCAAAACGGGCCGACCACCTCTCGCGCAGCATCAGAGAGCGCAGAATTGCGAGGATGTCTCAAGCAAAACGGGCCGGACCACCTCGCGCACGGCATATCAGGGCTCAGAGTTTGGAGGATGTCTCAGGCGAAACGGGCCAGACCACCTCTGGCGCGGCATCTGGGAACTCAGAGTTTGGAGGATGTCTCAAGCGAAACGGGCTGGAGCACCTCTTGCGGAGCATCTGGGAGCTAAGAATTTGGCGGATGTCTCAGGCGAAACGCGCCAGACCACCTCGCGCACGGCATCTCAGAGCTCAGAGTTTGAAGGATGTCTCAAGCAAAACGGGCCGGACCAACTCGCGCACGGCATATCAGGGCTCAGAGTTTGGAGGATGTCTCAGGCGAAACGGGCCGGACCGCCTCTGGCGCGGCATCTGGAAACTCAGAGTTTGGAAGATGTCTCAGGCGAAACGGGCCGGACCACCTCTGGCGCGGCATCTGGGAACTCAGAGTTTGGAGGATGTCTCAGGCGAAACGCCCAATCCCGGACAACTCAGAAACGAGAGTTGCGAGCATGTCTCAGGCGAAACGGCCTGGACCACCAAATTCTTTTGAGGACGTCTCTGCTTTGATTTCCCTCGGCCGGAGTTAGCTTCTATCACAACAGCACCCCGTTCAGCAAGCTGTTTGGGGAAATCGTCAACACAAAGTTGTTCTCAGACTAATTCTTTACTTCTTTTGGATGTTCCGCCTATAGTGGGACAGGACTGACTTAACACTAACTGCACCCCATGATGAGACATCGGTGCAGGCCCGACCACGAGAAACGATCTCCAGGGAATTTCCCGAGGCCCCGGACCCGTTTCCAGGCGCTCAGAAACTGCTCACTTCATGCCGAAGACAGAAGGTACGCGCTAACCTGGGTCAGCATCGCAGACCCAAGCCACGCAGGTAGCTCCCAGACCCGCGCCAGCGGGAGGCGGAGAGGAGGGTTCGGCTCCCCATGGCTCACAAGCCCAGGTGCTCGGGCGATTGGCCGACCGCTTTCGGCACTGAGCCCCGCTCCTCGGAAGAGGACCGACCGAGACAACCACGCCTCTCCCGCCCTGCCCAGACCCGGCAGACCCGCTCGAGACCCCGCCCCGGACCCGTCCCAGATCCCTCCAGGCCCATCTCTCGGGGCGGCTGCGGCCGGGGCGAGGAGAAGCCGGGGCGGCTCCCAAACACACGAAGACGCCTCGGAGGGCCGCCTCGGCTCCACGCGTGGGCACGGACCCCCGCGGGTGGCCATGCCGTCAACCCGTATCATAAGCATGCACGGTGAGGATGCAGGGGCCCTGGAGGGCCACAGGAACGTCTTCAGGGCGAGGCTGGCCAGCGAAAGTCGCTAAGGATTGGCCGAAGGGGCCAGGATGCAAGGGCACCCTGGGCAAGGTTGCCCATCCTTACTGTGCGGGTCGACTGTATGGACAAGCGCGATCCACTACTCGCAAGGTAGCTACTCGCAAATGGCCCGGATCCGCCATGGAAGACTTACGGTACATCTCATCGATGCAGACATGTGTTTTTCGGACGCTTGCTGCGAATAGGCACTTCGGGGATGGACAGAACCCCCTTTTCATAAAATGTGGTTTACTGAAAACGACCTCGGGCCCAAACCTGGCGGGCGCAAGCTCTGAAAATGACGGCCGCGACGCCCTCTCGAGAACCGAAAGCGGACAAATCACTGATCGACGAGTCAGGGTGGGGATTCTGTCCACCCCCGATGTTTTTCGGACGTTTGCGAGCAAGCACTCTGCGAGCAGTGTAACGCGCTCGGTGACTGTATCGGGGGTGGCCAAAAAAACCAAGAGGGGGGTGTCCAAGAGGGGGTGGCGCAAATCGTGGCTGAGCGTCATGTGGGCGGGGGCCAGGGACGTAATGAAATAAAGCAGGCGCCATGAAATCTAGGGAGGCCCCCGCCGTAATATCCACCCCGCCTAGCCCCCTGTTTTAGAACAAGAAAAAACGACATAAACATAAACGTTTGGCGCTCGGCGCCGAATTCTTGGATCTGCGCTGGGCCCCCCTCCCTGGCGCGCGGAGCGCGCCAGGGGCGGCGCCGGAGGCGCCGCCAGGGGGGACTCAGCGCGGATTCAAGAAATCCGCACGGAGCGCCAGAGGTTTTTGCATATAGTGTTGTTTCTTTTTCGATCTTTGCCGCCCCCGAGAGTAGGCACTCTGCGAGTAGTGAAACGCACCCGGTGACCTGCAGCTCCCGTGCCCCCCCGGACGACCACGGCCAGGGCGTGGGAACGTCGCGACCTCGATTTCTGGCGTGGGAGCGTCACGCTTTCCACCGCAAAACCGTCGAAACCCAGGGCACCCTGGAGGCAAGCAGGGCGTTCCCTGAGCATGTTCTTGGGGCGGAGGGCTCCGGGTGAATTCCACATGGGCCCCTGCACCTCGAAAATCAATCCGTCTTGTGATTCACCTCGTGCAGATCCAAGCCTCGAAAATCAATCGAAACGGCACTTCCGATTCCATGCTTCGCCCTCCACCCACAAAAAACGCTCGGGTCTCTTGGCGCGGGCCTCCACCGTCGCTTCCGTGCCCCCCGGACGACCACGGCCAGGGCGTGGTGGCTGCCGGCCGCCACGGCCTCCGCGGGCCCCGGCAGCGGCACCTGGCCGGGCGCATCCTTCGGTCGGGCACGTCCCCCTTCAGGGGGATTTTGGACGACAATCTGAAAAGTAGCCAGAGAACATTCAAAACGAAAACCAAAAATGGTCAACGAATCGTCCCCGGAATACTTTTTATAACTATTCTTGGGTACTCCTCCTGTCGAGGGAGAGGCCCGACGAAAGCGTTGCCAGGCCCCTAGTCTCTGGCAGCTCTTGCGGCTGTTTTTGGGGCGTGCTGGTTTTCGGCGGCGAGAGGGGGGGGAAGTGAGACAACAAAACTGAAGGGGCCCTGGGACACACAGACAAATGGACACAAATAACCAGATTCCCCAGGTCTTCCCATTCTTCCCCCCCAACTCCCCAAATTTTCCCATGCTTTCTGGGGAGTCTACGATTACTTGTGTCTGTGTGTTTCTTTTCCCCTCCCGAAAAACAAGCAAATGACATGACAAATCGCGACGCAGGCGAGGAGACGCACCCCGACACCACGGCCTTCCTGGCTGTGCCCAGAAGCTCTCGCCACGCAGAGCGCCGCACTGCTACTGCGGCGGGGGCCACAGCACGCAGGCGGCCGGAGAAGGCCTCCTCCGAAGGCTCTCGGGCAGTCCCCCCCCCCGGCCTTGCGAGACGTACCCTGAGCCTCCCCCAAAGACAGACACCAAGAGGATCCAATCCTACAAAAAAATGTGGGGATGTCAACTCCACCTGGCACCTGCGAAACTTTAGGGTTTTCCCCCACAACGCGCGCGCGCACAGTGGGATCCCGCAAGAGAAAGCTGGAAGCCGCTTCTGAGCAGAAGGCGCGAGAGCTTCCGAGCAGTCCCCGCCGCCCTCCGGGAAGGCCTCCTCCTCCTCCTCGCTTCCCTCCCTCGCTCGCCGCCGAACCTCTGGGGCTGCGACGCGCCTCTGGGACGTCGGCGCCCGGGGACCCCTTCTCGGAGGCCCCCGCAGAGCCCGGGAACGCAGGCACGCCCCGCGGAGCCCCGGGGCGGCAGAAGCCATGTCGTCGCATGGCTGGGAAGGCTCAAGTCGGGCCTGTCCCCCTACATGCCGATCTTGGACGAAGAATTAAGAATACCCCAGAGATGCCCTAAAAATGCTCCAAAATGGTAAGAAGATGGTCCCCAGACTGTTGTTTGACAATTTGTGAAAATCCCCCCTGTAGAGGGACATACCCGACTTCGGGGAAGGCGCCCCGTGCCCCAGAGGTGCCCCATGAGACTTCCTGGGAGGCCCAGGGCGAGCGACGAAGAGAAGCGGGTCTTACGCGAGATGACGTAGGGACCTCACGCGGCGGCTTACGCGGGCCGCCAGCGCGGCACACCACAGTGGAGACGAGGGCGCTCACGCGCGACCTCACGCGGGGAGCTTACGCGCCAACGTCGGCGAAGACAACACCGTTTTTGTTGTGTCGCCCAGGTGGCCTCCGGGAGCGCCCCTCGCCAGGCCCAGGAAAGCCACAGGGGGGCTCCAGGGCGGCGCCGACGCCGAGGTCCGACGTCGCGACTCGACCGAATTGCAACGCCGTCGAACATCAGAAATCATGACCAGAGTTAAGTCGGGCGTGTCCCTCTACAGCAGGAGCATCCACAAGTAGCCAACAAATAACGTGGGGACGATTCTCCGACCATTCTTTGACAATGTTTGACCATTCTCGGGTGTTTACTTTTTTTCGCCAGAAATCCCACTGCAGGAGGAGGTGCCCGACCTAAGACCAGAGCCCCGGACCTGCGGCAATTCTCCAGCAGGACTGGCCCTGCAGGGCCCCCTGGCCCGAGACTGCGCGCAAAAACGCCCCGACGCGAAACAAGACGTGCGACGCCCGGATCTGAGCATCCGTTTTCAGATCCCCATCCCCACGGGCGTGGCCTGGGCCCCGCTGGCCGATTCACCCCTTCACATGGGCATATCTGAGCCAGGGTTGACCCCCCCCCCTACCCCCCCGTGCATACGGGATCGAGCCCCCCCCCCCCGCTGGATGGGTACGCCCTTGAGCCCCGCGGAAGCCTCACGAATGGGATCGCACCCCCGCCCTGAGGCCGTGACCCTGTGGGCATGGCGTGGTGGACTGTGCTGGTGCAGCCCCCAAACCTCCCCCATGTAGGAGTGGGGTGGCTCGTCATCATCGTCGTCCGTCGTCATTGTCGTCCGTCGGCGGCCTTGGCGTCGGCGTCGGCGTCGGTGTTGGAGTCGGCGTCGGCGTCGGCGGCGGCGTCCGTCGCCGTCGTCGTCGGCGACGGCGGCGTTGGCGTCGTCGTTGTCGTCGTCAGCGTCGGCGTGGTCGTCGGCGTCGGCGGCGGCGTCGTCGTCCGTCGTCGTCGTCCCTTGGCGTTGGCGGCGATTGCGTCGGAGTCCGCGTCGGCGGCGGCGTGAGCGTCGGCGTCGTCGGCGTCGGCAGCGTCAGTGTCGGCGTCGGCGTCGTCGTCGTCATCGTCGACTTCGTCGTCGTCGTCGTCGTCGTCGTCGTCGTCGTCGTCGTCGTCGTCGTCGTCGTCGGTGTTGTCGTCGTCGGCGTCGTCGTCGTCGTCGTCAATCGGCGTCGGCGGCGTGAGCGTCGGTGTCGGCGTCAGAGGTGTTGGCATCGGCGTGAGCGTCGGCGTCGGCGGTGGCGGAGGCGTCAGCGCCGGCGTCGGCGTCGGCGCCAGCGCTGGCGTCGGCGTCAACGCTGACGACGACGACGCTGACGACCCTGACGACGCTGACGAAGACGAAGACGACGACGACGACGACGACGACGACGACGGCGACGACGACGACGTCGACGGACGACGACGACGACGACGACGACGACGCCGACGCCGACGCCCCCGCCGACGCCACCCGCCGCCGCCGACGCCCGACGCCGTCGCCGACGACAACGCCGACGTCGACGCCGACGCTGACGCTGTCGCCGACGCAGACGCCGTCGGCGCACACGCCGACGCAGACGTCAACGACGAGGCGGACGCCGGCTGAGGCGGCGGCGGCGTCGTCATCGTCTTCGTCGTCATCGTCCGTCGTCGTTGTCGTCGTCGTCGTCGGCGTCCGTCGGGGTCAGCGGCGTTGGCGTCGGAGTTGGCGCCGGCGTCGGCGTCGGCGTCAGCGTTGTCCGACGTCGTCGTCGTCCTTCGGCGTCGTCGTCGTCGTCGTCATCATCGTCGGCGTCGGTGTCGGCGTCGGCGCCAGCGTTGTCGTCGTCGTCCTCCGAGTGTCGTCGTCTGTCGGCGTCGGAAGGTTTGGCGTTGACATTGGCGTTGCGTTGTCGTCGGCGTCGGCGTCGGCGTTGGCGTCGGCGTCGGCGTCGGCATCGGCGTCGGCTTCGTCGTCGTCGTCGTGGTCGTCCGTCAGCGTCGGCGGCGTTGGCGTCGGCGTCGTCGTCGTCGTCGGCGTCGGCGTCGGCGTCGGCGTCGTCGTCGTCGTCGTCGTCGTCGTCGTCGTCGTCGTCCGTCGGCGTCGGCGCCGCTGGCGTCGTCGTCGGCGTGAGCGGCGTGAGCGGCGGCGTCGGCGTTCTCGTCGGAGTGAGTGTCGGGGTCGGCGACGGCGTCGGCGTCGGCGTCAGCGGCGGCGTCGGCGTCGGCGTTTGCGTCGGCGTCGGCGTCGGCGTCGGCGTCGGCGCCGGCGTCGGCGTCGGCGTCGGCGTCGGCGTCCGCGTCGGCGTCGGCGTCGTCTCGTTCGTCGTCGTCGTCGTCCGTCGTCGGTGGCGGCGCTGGCGTCGTCGTCGTCGGCGTCGGCGTGAGCGTCGTGAGCGTCGGCGTCGGCGTCGGCGTCGGCGTCGGCGTGAGCGTCGGCGTCGGCAGCGTTGGCGTCGGTGTAAGCGTCGGCGTCGGCGTCGGCGTCGGCGTCGGCGTCAGCGTCGTCATCGCCGTCGTCCGTCGCGTCGGGGGCGTTGGCGTCGGCGTCGGCGTCGGCGGCTTCGGCGTCGAGGTGAGCGTCGGCGTCGGCGTTGACGACGACGACGCTGCCGCTGACGACGCTGACGACACTGACGACGAGGAGGACGACAACGACCAGGACAACGCTGACGACACTGACGACGCTGACGACGACGACGACGCCCCCGCCGACGACGATGACGAAGTCGACGACCCTGACCAAGACGTTGACGACGGCCTCGGCGGCGACGGCGTCATCGTGAGCGTCGGCGTCGGCGTCAGCGTCGGCGTCGTCGACGTCGGCGTCGTCCGTCGGCGTCGTCGACGTTGGCGTCGTCGTCGTCGTAGTCATCGTCAGTGTCGTCGTCGTTGTCGGCGTCAGCGCCGACACAGACGCCGACGCCAACGCTGACGCCGACGCCGTCGCCGCCGCCGGCGGCACGCTGACGACGACGACGGACGACGACAACGACAACGAAGACGACGACGACGGCGACGCCGACGACGATGACGCCGGGAACGACCACGACCACGACGTTGACGACGGCCGCGGCGGCGACGGCATCGGCGTGAGCGTCGGCGTCGGCGTCGGCGTCGACGACGTCGTCGTCGGCGTCGGCGACGGCGTCGGCGTCGGCGTTGGTGTCGGCGAGGTCGGCGTCGGCGCGGGCGTCGTCGTCGTCGTCGTCCGTCGGCATCGGCGTGGTCGGCGTCTGCGTGAGCGTCGGCGTCGGGGACGACGGCGACGACGACGCTGACGCTGACGACGCTGACGACACTGACGACGACGACCACGACGACGCTGACGCACACACTGACAACGATAATGACGACAACGACGACAACGACGACGACGTCGACGACGACAACGACGCCGACGCCCCCGTCGACGACACTGACGATGCCGACGAGGACGACCACGACCACGACGTTGACGACGGCCGCGGTGGCGACGGCGACGGCGTCGGCCTTTAGCGTCGGCGTCGTCGTCGTCTTTGTCGTCGTCGTCGTCGTCCGTCGGCATCGGCGGCGTCGGCGCCAGCGTCGGCGTCGGCGTGAGCGTCGGCGTGAGCGTCGGCGTGAGCGTCGTCGACGGTGTCGTCGTCGTCGTCGTCGTCGTCGTCGTCGTCGTCCGTCGGCATCGGCGGGGTCGGCGTCTGCGTGAGCGTAAGCGTGGGCGTGGGCGTCAGCGATGACGACGTCGACGACGACGCTGACGCTGACGCTGACGCTGACAACGACGACGCTGACGACGAACGCTTACGTCGACGACGACGACGATGACGACCGCGACGACCACGACCTCGAAGTCGACGACGGCCGCGGCGGCGACGGCGTCAGCGTGTCGGTGTGAGCGTCGGCGTGGTCGACGTCGTCGTCGTCGTCGTCGTCGGTCGTGGCGTCGACGCTTACGACGTTGACGACGACGACGCCGACGACGCCGGCGACGACGACGATGACGGCGACGACCACGACCACGACGTCGACGACGGCCACGGCGGCGACGGCGCCGGCGTGTCGGCGTGAGCGTCGGCGTCGGCGTCGTCGACGTCGGCGTCGGCCTTTTGGCGTCGGCGTTGACGAAGCTGGCGACGCTGACGACGCCGACGACGACGCCGACGCCACCGCCGACGACGACGACCGCGACAAGCACGACCACAAAGTCGACGACGACCGCGGCGGCGACGACGTCGGCGTGTCGGCACGAGCGTCGGCGTCGGCGTCGGCGTCGTCGACCTCGGCGTCGTCGTCGACGGCGGTGGCGTCGGCGTCGTCGTCGTCGGCGTGTCGGCATCGTCGTCGTCGCCACGACGTTGACGACGGCGCCGGCGGCGACGGGCGGCACCTGGCTCACGGGCGGCGCCTCGTCCAGGTCCGGGTCCACGGCGCGCTGTCCCTCGCTGTGGTTCCCCATGGTGAGCACTCGCCCGTCCCCCATTAGCAGCAGCGAGAACCCATAGCCGCCCTCGAACGCCGCGACCTGACCAGCGACTGCACTTCTTTGAGCAGGGACCGACCGTCCCGGCAGTTCTTCAGGCCTACCACGACATGTTCAGAAATGTGCTAAGAACAAGAAATACTCCGACGGAAGGACCCCACATGAGAATCCTCTGGGCGGATCTGGAAAAAGCCCTCACCGTCGTCCTCATGGTTGGTGAGGCGTCCTGGCTGTCTCTTCTGCGTATATTTCTTCTCGCCCTGGCGCGGGCCCTCCCCCCGCTCCCTACGTTGCCCCCGACCTCGCCCTCCTGTTTTGGCTCCGGACATTCAGAAAGTGGCCCGAGAGTGGTGTTCTGGGAACACGAAGAACACGAAGTGGCCTACAGTTGGCCTGGGAATGGCGTTCTGGCAGCGCGAGAGCCCAAAAGTGGCGACAGTTACAAGAATTGGATGACCCGCTCGGATTAGTAACATGATCATCGGGCCCCATAGGGAGGGGGCTCCCGCTTCAGACTTCCTCGCAATTCCCTCACAAATGTGGCCTGGGAATGGCGTTCTGGCAGCGCGAGAGCCCAAAAGTGGCGACAGTTACAAGAATTGGATGACCCGCTCGGATTAGTAACATGATCCGCGGGCACCATAGGGAGGGGGCTCCTGCTTGAGACTTCTTCGCAATTCACTCACAGATGTGGCCTGGGAATGGCGTTCTGGCAGCGCGAGAGCCCAAAAGTGGCGACAGTTACAGGAATTGGATGACCCGCTCGGATTAGTAACATGATCCGCGGGCACCATAGGGAGAGGGCTCCCGCTTGAGACTTCCTCGCAATTCACTCACAGACGAGGCCCAAGGCGAGTGAGTGAGTGAGTGAGTGAGTGACTGAGTGGTGATGATGATCATCATCACACTCTCTCACGCGCACACTCATCATCATCATATGTGAGTGCTGATGAGTGAGTGAGTGAGTGAGTGAGTGAGTGAGTGAGTGAGTGAGTGAGTGAGTGAGTCAGTGAGTGAGTGAGTGAGTGAGTGAGTGAGTGAGTGAGTGAGTGAGTGAGTGAGTGTGTGAGGGATGATGAATGAGTGAGTGAGTGAGGAATGAGTGATGATGATAATGATGGTGGGTTCCTGTTCCTGCGCGGGGTGTCCAGAGAAAACAAGAAGCCCACTTTGGATGTGGGGGACAATAATCTTAGAACATAAAGCCGACGTGTTAAAACAAGACAGTCCCAGCCAGAAACGTTCTAAGACCATTTCGTGGAAACCCCAAAAGTTATCAGAACATTGCTTGGTAGGCCTCTAGGTACGCCAGGACGCTTCGCCACTGCTTGACTTCTGGGGCAGCACGCGGGAGCCTCCCATGCCATCTTACTGGCTCCTGCGAGTCGGCGCAGGTCGGCTCTGAATCGACGCTACATCGACGCAAATTCGGCGCCTTCCCATCGATTACCACACGCTAGCGCACGCTAGTGTCAGGTCGGGCGTGTCCCCCTACAGGCGGACTCTGGACGACAAATCTTCCAAGTCAAAAAGATGCAAGAATACTCCACGAAGAATCGTCAAATCGTCCCCGAACGATTCTTTGACTATTTTTGAATGTTCCTCCTGTAGAGGGGCACGCCCGACTAAACGCTAATGGACACACAGGGCTCCCATGACTTGCCACCGCACCAAACCGCCCGGGCCCCGCCCGAAGGCCACCCCATGCGGCGGGCCGCTGGGCGGGAATGGGCCCCCCCGAGCCAAGCAGTGCTTCCGGCGGCAGGGGCTCCTGGGCACACGGCCGAGGAGAAGGATGAGGAGAGAGGAGGAGGAGGAGGCGGAGGAGGAGGAGGAGGAGGCGGAGGAGGAAGAGGAGGAGGAGGAGGAGGACGAGGAGAACGCGAAGCAGGAGAAGGACGAAGAAGGCGGAGGAGGAGGAGGAGGAGGAGAACGCGAAGCAGGAGGAGGAGGAGGAGGAGGAGGAGGAGGAGGAGGAGGAGGAGGACCCCCCTCCGCGCGAAATTCTGCATTTTCGGATGGTGTTCGGGGGGTCGACGATAGGGGGGGACTGGCATAGGGGGGAAGCATCGGCATGGAATCGGCGAGATAAATCGCCTATAGATCGGCGATTGGCCCCCGTTCGTGAATCCGCCCCTTCATGTGCAGGTTGGGGCTACCGGGCCCCGATCGGATCGGAGATCAATGGGCGATTGCGGGTCCTTGTCCCTGAGTGACGGTGGGGGTGTCGGGGGCGGCCAGGACGGGGGCGTCCAAGAAGGGGGGGCACAAATCATGGCCAGCGGCACGTGCGCGGCCCATGGGGGGGGCCGGGGACGTCTTGAAATAAGAAGAGGCGCCATGAGATCTGGGGAGGCACCATGGCACCCGCCATGATGTCCACTCCCCCTAATCATCGCCCCCCTCTCGGCCGCCCCCCGAAGGTGGTTCGGTCAGTTCGGGGGTTAAGCGACCCGGGAACAAATCGGGCGGGCACAGGCCTGCAACTATTGCGGCCGCGACACCTTCTCGAGAGCCAAACCATTTTACACCTCGCGCCCAATCGACATGGCAGGGTGGGGGTTCTGTTGCGAGGGGGGGCATAACCACCGCCTGGAGGATCGATCTTCGGGGACGACGGCAGGCCGTGGTTATGGATAACCATGTTTGCCCGGCCCCCCCACCGCCCGACTATGTATATGCACCCACCGGAAGTTGCGGGGAGGAACGTCTGGGGGGGACTGGCTCTGGGGGGTGGGGGGAAGCATCGACCTGGAATCGGCTAAGCGTCGCCGATAGTTTTACCGCCTCCTACAGGCGGATTTTGGAGGAGAAATCATAAATACTGTCCACACATGCTGAAAAACGTACTTAGTCGAAACATCGCCCCCAGACCATTGTTGTTGACTGCTCTTGGATGTTCCTCCTGTAGAGGGACCTGCCCGATTTAGCGACAGCAGGCGCATCCCGCCCTGAACCCCGCGCCCCCTCCTCCTCCCTTCTCCCTCCTCCTCCTCCTCCCTCCTCGTCCTTCTCCCTTCTCCTCCTCCTCCTCCTCGTCCTGCTCCTTCTCCTCCTCCTGCTTCTCCTCCTCCTCCTCCTTCTCCTCCTCCTCCTGCGTTTCTGCGTTTCTCGCTCCGAGCAGCGTCTCACGTGCGCCCGGAGCGCGCTGCAGCAGCCCACGAGGGCCGTGCGGGCACTCAGACGACGGCCCCGGGAACCCGACCCCGAGGAAGAGAAAGAGGACCAAGGACCAATACAAATCGTAACAGAGGGGAAGAGACGGGGCCGGGTTTCAAGGTGGGGCCCCTAGGGGCCCCAAAAGGCGCGGCGCGCGGCCGCCCGCGCGGCGGGCCGCCCGCCGTCAGCAGGCCGTCGGCCGCTTCGTGGGCCCTCAGCCTGCGCTGCCGGTGCGCCTGGCGTGGAGTGGCTGGCCGCCGGCTCCCAGGGGCAGGCTGCCCCCCGCCTTGGCGACCTCCACCCTTCGGCGCCGAGCGCTGTGGAGGCTCGCCGAGCCGCTCGTGGGCTCCAGCTCGTCCTGCACTGGCTGGCCGCTCTGGCCAGCTCTTGCCGCCTCTGGCCGGCTGGCCGCGGCCCCTCGCATGTTACGCGAGGGCGACGGGGATACACCCTTCGGCGCCATGCGCTGTGTATCCCACGTCGCGGGGCAGGCTGCCCCCTGCTTGACTCTGCTTGACTCTGTGGTTCTCGAACCTGTGGTACTGCTTGACTCAGAGGTGCTCGAACTTGTGGTACTCGACTCAGTCGTGCTGGTCAAAGTGGTACTGCTTGACTGTGCGGTGCTCGAACCTGCGGTTCTCGACTCAGTGGTGCTGGTCAACGTGGTACGGCTGGACTCTGTGGTGCACGAGCTGTGGTACTCGACTCAATCATGCTGGTCAACGGTACTGCTTGACACTGTGGTGCCAAACCTGTGGTACTCGACCCAGTCGTGCTGGTTGACGTGGTAGTGCTTGACTCGGTGGCCCTCGAACCTGTGGTACTCGACTCAGTCGTGCTGGTCAACGTGGTAGTGCTCGGCTCGGTGGTGCTCGAACCGGTGGTACTCGACTCAGTAGTGCTGGTCAAAGTGGTACTGCTTGACTCTGTGATGCTAGAATCTGTGGTACTCGACTCAGTCGTGCAGGTCAAAGTGGTGCTGCTTGACTCTGTGGTGCTCGAACCTGTGGTACTCGACTCAGTCATTGGGGTGTTTGTCGTGCGTGCCTGTAGGTGGGTCGTTGGGGGGTCGGCTTGTTGCTGGTGTTGTGGTATGGGTTGTGGGCGCACTTATGAGGCCTCCATGCACCGACTTCGAGTGGGGTTCGTGGCGGCCCCACCTCGTCCCGCTATGGCTAGGGGTCACAGTGCCCTCGGTGGGGGCGAACCCCAGGCCTAGTGCTTGCTTCTGTTGTCGGTGAGGGATGTCTCGGCTGCCCTACGATTCGCCCCCTGGGCGCTCGGGTAAGCTCCGTCTCCGCCATGGTGATGGTGGGGGTGGCGAGCTAGGGCGGACCGCGGGGGCGCAGGTAGTGGCCGTCCTACCCCCCCCCTGCCCCTCACCATCCCCCCTGGTAGGCGCGGGCAGTACTCGTCCTGCCCCCCCACCCTTCGAGCCCGTCTCGAAGTTTGATCCTTGCCTCACCAGGGCAGCGTTGACATGTAGGGTGGTGTGATGGGCCATCCTTTGGGTTGTGGGTGGTGGTTGGTCGGTGGTGCTTGGTGGTCGTAGAGGTCGTATATCGTCTGGCTTGCTGGTACCGCTGAACTTGTGCACGTGCGATCGCTGCCTGCGTCAATACTGCAAAACGTGGCGACTTGTGCCTGGGGTGTTCCCACGCATTCGGGGCTTCCCCAGGACTTGCGTCCTAACGCCTCCTCCTCCTCCTCCTCCTCCTCCTCCTCCTCCTCCCCCTCCGCCTCCTCCCCCTCCTCCGCCTCCTCCCCCTCCTCCCCCTCCTCCTCCTCCTCCTCCTCCTCCTCCTGATGTTGCCCCTGACATACAGCTGAAGCCAGTCCACAGGCCAGTCCACAAGAAACCTTCCACGAGAAGTCCAACCCCGAGATCCCAGGACGTCCATGGATTTTTGGCGCGGGAGCGTCACGCTCTCTTCCATCGCAAGACCATCGAAACCCAAGACACCCAGGGCACCCTGGAGGCAAGCAGGGTGTTTCTTGACATGGGTCTCCACTGTAAGCCTCCGTCAAGACATGAGCAGGGACCGACCGTCCCGGCCTTCCTACAGGCCTCCCACAAAATGATCGTATAACCAAAAAATGTTTTAAGAACCAAAACGATTTTCTCAGAGCATAAACCCGATGTGCGGTAAAACAAAAACAGACCAGGCCATAAATGTTCTGAGAACAATTCGTGCAGACCCAAAAAAGTTCTTACAACATTCGCTGGTGGGCCTATAGGCAAGCCAGGACGCTGCGCCACTGTTTGAAAGAGATGACGGCCTGTGCTCCCTGCAGCTCCGGCGCGCACTCGGCCAGCCGCCTCGGGACCGTGATCTGCTCCTCCCCAGGGCGCCCGCTGCCGAGCTGGCCCTGCTCGTTGCAGCCCCACACGTACCATTCCCCGTCCTCACCGAGCGCCGCTGTGTGGTAATGCTGGGGGAACGGAGAATGACATAAACATAACAACTCAGAAGTCCGCGCGGATTTCTCAGATCCGCGCTGGGACCCCCTCCCTGGCGCGCCGGAGGCGCCGCCAGGAAGCCCCAGCGCGGATCCGAGAAATCCGCGCGGAGCTCCAAGTTATTATGTTAATGTAATTCTTCGTTCCCCCAAATACCCAGCGGCGAGCCTCAGGACCCTCGGGAGGCCTCTGGGACGGGCTCGGAGCATATACACCAGGTCCTCTGGTCGGCCAGTGGGCTCAGTGTGTAGAACGAGCTAGCTGCCCAATCTGTGGGATGCTGGAGCGTCCATGTTCACTGTAGCCCTTCTCCGACGTCAGTGGCGCCTTGGCAGGCCGAAGGGCGCGGTGTATACATCGAGCCCCCCCGAGCCTTGCACGAGCTTGGGCTCGGGGTTCTTGTACTGCAAGCTGCCGTCGCCTCGGGGGCGCGCTGACCCTGTTCATCTGGGCGAGCCAAGAAGTACAGATCGGAGGCGAATCCGACCGTGGCGGCGGGGGCCTCCCGCGAGGCCCAAAAAGGGTAGAACGAGGGAATGCTAGCTGCGTGGGCACCTTGCGCTCCCCTGGTCAGCGCTGACCCTGGCCGAACCAGGGCAACACCTCGAGCCCAGGGCGGAAGAGGATAGCTCCCCAGAGCCTGGCGTCAGCGCACGGGCGAGGGGAGGGCTGGCCCCACGCGGCTCCCGAGCGAGGGCTCCCGAGCGAGGGTCCGCTGGAGGGGATCTGTGGGGAGATGCTGACCGCTGTCAGCGCTGAGCCCTGTTTCTCGGAGGGCCAGGTTGAGAGCCACTGAAACAATCGGTCCCCGGACCCATCTGGGGGTCCATCCTGACCCATTTCTCGGAGGGGATCCAGCGATGGCAACGAGAAGCCTCCAAGAAGCCGAAAAGGACGAAACACGCCACGAAGGGCCGCCGTTGTCTTGACTGCCCATCCCCCTCCTCCGAGCTTCGGCATCCCCGATCGCCCATCTGCCCCTGCCAGCCGGCCCCAGCCGCCCAGACCTGAGGAAGAATGGCAGGGGGGGGACTGGCTCAGGGGGGAGCATCGACCTGGAATCGGCGATACATCTCTCTATGTGTGTATATATGTGTCTGTCGATGCATATATATATATGTGTGTGTGTGCGTAGGTGAATATATGTATATATACATATATACATATGCATGCATGCATGCAGCCATGCATGCACGCATGTATGCATGTATGTATGTATGCTTGCATGGTTGTAGGAAGGTAGGTCTGCAGATATATAGGTAGGTCGGTAGGTAGGTAGGTAGGTAGCTAGGTAGGTCGAGAGGTCGGTAAGTAGATATAAATGTGTGTATGTGTTTACGTACGTACGTACGCACGTATGTGTGTATGTATGTATGCATATGTGTATGAGTGTATGTATGTGTATGAACCCATGTATGTGTATATGCATGACTGCATGGGTGCGTGGCTGTAGGTCGGTAGGTAGGTATGTATATACGTAGGTAGGTAGATGTGTATGTATGTATGTAGGTAGATAGGTCGGTAGTCCGGCAAGTAGGTAGGTAGATAAGTAGGTCGGTAGGTAGGCAGTCATGAATGCATGCATGTATGTATGTACGCGTGGGGGGATGTACGTATGTAAGAATGCATGCATGCATGTATGTCTGTGCATGCATGAGCGTTTGAGTGTAGGTATGTATGCATGTATGCATGTATGTATCTATGTGTGTGCATGTACGCATGTGTATGTGTGTATGCATGCTTGTCTGTATGTATGTGTACGTACGTACGCACGTGCCCCTACCTACGTATACACATATATATAGCTATATGTGTATGGGTGCATGCATGTATGTATGTATGCATGGTTTCAGGTATGTATATGTGCATGGATGTTTGTATTCATGCATGCATGTGTGCATGCATGTATGCTTATGTGTATGTATGCAGGTATGTAAGTATGTATGTATCCCTGATTATATATGTGGGTATGTGTGCATGTGTATGAATGTGTGTATGTATGTATGTACGCATGTATGTATGCATGTATGTATGTATGTATGTATGTATGCATGCATGCATGAATGAATGAATGAATGAATGTGTGTATCTTTATATGTACATGTATATGTGTATGTATGTATGTATGCATGCATGTATGTATGTGTGTGTATGCATGTATGTATGTATGCACGTATGTACATGTGTATGTATGTATGCATGCATGCATGCATGCATGCATGCATGCATGCATGCATGCATGCATGTTTGCTTGTACGCGTGTAGGTATGTATGTATGTATGTATGCATGAATGTATGTCCGTATGTACGTATGTGTACATACAAAGAAATGTGTGTACACATGTATGGGTGTGTTTGTGTATATGTGTGTGCACATGAATATGTCACCGTGCCGCTGGGCACAGAGTGGGCGTGTCCTCAGGTCTGTCCACTACCCATTCCGAGCCTCAGTCGTCACTCCTCAGGTGTTCGTAAGGGGCCTGGAGCCTCTCGGGCCAAATCTTTAGGGGCAGACCGCGTCTTGTCGCATGATTGTTTCGGACACAGGAGGCCTTCAAGAAGGGCCATTAGGGTCCCAAGAGGCCCCCACGACGGCCCAAGGAGGCTTCGAGTCGCCGAACAGTCGCTCCAAGACGCTCAAGATGGCCCCCAGACGGCCCAAGAGGCCTCCAAGATGTCCAAAGAAGCCACCAAGAGGCCTCCTAAGAGGGCCGCCCCCAGAGGCCGAAACCATTGATTTTCCTTTTGTGTTTGAGTGATGTTGGCGTTCTCGCCTTTTCGGCTTCCCGACGCTCCCAGACGGCCCCAGAGGCCCCCAAGACCGTCGCCCCAAGACGGCCCGAGAGGCCCCAACGTTGGCCCGCGAGCGGCCCAAGACGGCCCCAAGACAGCCCACGAGGCGCCCAAAACGGCCCAAGAGGACCCCCAGACGGCCCAAAAAAGAAGCCCCAACGAGAGAACACGAAGTGAAGCCTTCCGCTCAAAGAGGCCCCAGGAAGCCCCACCAGGCGGCCCCCCACCTGCAGAAAGCCCCCAAGAGGCCCCAAGAGGCTTCCAAGAGGACCAAAAGAGGTTCCAGAAGGCCCCCAAAACTACCCCCAAGAGGCCCCAAGAGGCTTCCGAGAGAACCAGAAGAGGTTCCAGAAGGCCCCCAAACTACCCCCAAGAGGCCCCAAGAGGCTTCCAAGAGGACCAAAAGCGGTTCCAGAAGGCTCCCAAAACTACTCCCAAGAGGCCTCCAAAGGCCCCCGAGAGGACCCCCACGAGATCCCGGCGAACATCCAATAGGCTTCAGACCCACAACCCAAGCACGGTGGCGGGATGCGCCGAAAACCATTCGATCCGCCGCCCCCTGTTGATTCATCACAGGGGTGCCTGGCGTGCCAGACTATTACGGTTTTGGTTGTGGTTCTTTTTCCAAAAGACCTCCCCCTGGGGCTCCGGCGCGTCCCGCCGGGGTCCCGGGAGGATTGCCAAGGACCTCAATTCCCCCAATTTCCTGCCCAAGACGGCTCCAAGATGGCCTCCAAGCTGCCTCCAAGACGGCCAGGATGGCCTCCAAGACGGCTAAGATGGCTTTAAGATGCCTCCAACACGGCCAGAGATATACCCAAGACGGCCTGAGATAGCCTCAAGATGGCCCAAGGCGGCCCAAGAGGCCCCCAAGAGGCCTCAAGGACAGCCCAAGAGCCCGTCCAGAGGTTCTCCAGGAAGGCCCGAAGAGGCCCGAATCATTGATTGTCCTGAGGTTTTTGAAGGATTTTGGCATTTTCGCCTGTTCGGCTTTCCTCCTTCTCCTCCTCTTCCTCTTCCTTCCGCCGCCCCCTTTTGATTTATCAAAGAGGTGCCTGGCGTGCCGAATCCTGTGGCTTTTGGTTTTGGTTCTTTTTCCAACAGAACTCCCTGGGGCTTCGGCCCGTCCCGCCGGCCACCCGGAAGACCCGGTTGCAAACGGTTTTCCTGCCCCAGACGGCCCCAAGACGGCCCAAGATGGCTTCCAAGACGGCTAAGATGGCCCGAATATGCCTCCAAGACGGCCCAAGATGCACCCAAGACGGCCTAAGATAGCCTGAAGATGGCCCAAGACGGCCCAAGAGGCCCCCAAGAGGCCTCCAAGACGGCCCAAGAGGCCTCCAAGAGGTTCTCCAGGAAGGCCCGAAGAGGCCAAAATCATTGATTTTCCTTAGGTTCTTGAAGGATTTTGGCATTTGCGCCTTTTCGGCTTTCCGACGGCCCCAGACGGCCCAAGGGGCTCCCAAGATCGCCCCAAGATCGCCCAAGAGGCCTCTAGGAGGGCCCCATGACGGCCCAAGTGGCCTCCAAGACGGCCCCAAGAGGCCCCAAGACGCCCCCAGAGGCCTCCAACACGCCCAAGATGGCCTCCAAGACGCCCAAGATGGCCTCCAAGACGGCCCCGAAGCGCCGCAAGATGGCCCCAAGCCGGCCCAGAAAGGCCCCCAAAACGGCTCAGACGGCGTCAGACGTGCCAGTTGGCTCGAAGTTGGCCCTCAAGATGGCCGAAGTTGGCTCGAAGCTGGCCCAAGAGGCCCCTAAGAGGGCCTCCAGGAAGGCCAGAAGAGGCCAAACACCGTGATGTTCCTAAGGTTTTTGACGGATTTTGACATTTGCTTCTTTTCGGCCTTCCGACGGCCCGATATGGCCCAAGAGCCCCCAAAGATCGCCGGAAGATCGCATAAGAGGCCTCCAAGATGGCCCCTGAACGGCCCAAGAGGACCCCAAGACGGCCCCAAGAGGCCTCCAACACGCCCAAGATGGCCTCCAAGACGCCCAAGATGGCCTCCAAGACGGCCCTCCCTGGAGCATTCCAAGAGGGCCCCAAGTCGGCCCATAGAGGCCCCCCAAACGGCTTCCGACGGCGTCAGACGGACCAGGAGCCCACCAAGACGGCCGAACATGGCCCCAAGATGGCCCAAGACGGCCCAAGAGGCCTCCAAGAGGGCCTCCAGGAAGG